ACTGCATAGGTTTCTCCTGAGATCTCGAGAAAGAAATATTTTTGTCACTTTTTGTGACACAATTTTTTGAATTAATATCTGAGAAAAATGCAATGTATTTTTATAAATATACATTAAAAGAATACACAAATATATCATTGTATGTTCTTCATATACATCTTACAAATTGGAAAAGATTCTTACCAGCACTTGTCTTTTTCTCTGAAGTGTTAGTCTCTTTAGTATAAAAAGGAGTATAAATTTTTAAGATTTGCAATAATCTATGAACTTTTGGAGTACTATATTGATATATCCTTTCTTTCTCAGACAAATGTTGAAATTCATTATCACAAAGAGCACTGTGAAAAATCATTCATCAATTTTCGTGTGTGCGCATACACACACATGCACAAAATTATATAATATCTTAAACTGCCTAACCACGTTTAACACATAAGTGTCAATATCGTCATCGTTATTACAATACTTACCGAATTTTTATAAAAACAGATGTTATCATATTTAATAAAAGATAATGTCTCTCGTAAGGAGTTTTGATCTTTAATTTTTCCGTTAGAAATAGTAATGTTAGAGCAGCACGATCCGCACACCATGGTCCAAGAGTTTCTAATATATGCAAAAAATCTTGCATCATCTCAAAGGGCTTTTGTATGGGGTCAGGAATTTTTTGAATATCCTCATAAAATTCTTCGGTATAAATTTCCATTGGATCATACCGATGATCACGTAAAAATTCAATTGCATGTAACACACAACTTTTAAGCGTATTATACAAGTCTTTCTTTTCTCCCCTATCATACTCCACAATATACTCTCTTGGCTTTGGGCTATAACTACATATACAAATAATTCTCACATTATTAGTTTGTAAGGGCATTGTCAACAAATTATTAAACTTACCGTATTATTGAAAGAATATCATTAGCAGTTTCTACTTCACACTGGAAAGCAGCCTCTACTTTTTCTATTTCTAAGCCCAATCTTCCAGGTTCTTGTGTCAAATTAAACACTGGTACTGCTAACCCGATTATTCTAGGAACATTGTTGCATAATAGAAAAGTTTGCAGGACAAACTTTAAATTGCTATCTTCGATAGACTTATGGCACTCATCTACTATGACTAGATTTATGTGACATGATAAAAGTTTGCTTTCTGATATTAATTGTGCATAGACTTTTGATGTTCCAACTAATACCTATAAATACATATAAAATAAAATGTATAAGAAAATACTTGTAATAAATTCTTTTAACACGCAGTAAATAATTTTTTCTTACATGAGAACTTTCAAAACTTCTGTCAAATTCCTCAAGTACACCAGAATCACATGCTAATACTTTCAGGTCTGTTAATTGCTTTATATAAGTTCCTATTATTGTACATTTGTCTTTGTCATTTAATATATATATCGTCCGTTTTCCACCATTACTTACTAATCTATACAAGGAAAAAGATCATTTCAAATATATTTAACAAATATTATAATTAATATTTGATTTGAGCATTTACTTATAACTAAATATGTATTAAATTTAATAAATATACTCGAGATTTATATAAAGCTATAGGCTATTCTTACTAAAACTTCCTGTATAAAGGTTTAAATCTTGTTAACTTTGTATGTTAAATATTTCTTAATATTTAACGTTTTTGTTACTATTCTTGAACAATAACTCAATAGAGTTGAAACAAATGGAAACATTTCATTACCTTCTATTGTTGGTAGCAAACTCTTGAATCAATTTTATAGAAAGAAAGGTTTGCTCGGAATTTTTTCCCAAACAAACGATTATATTCTTTTCTTTTGCTGCATAAAGAAGTTCTACCTACAAATAAATGTTACAATGAGAGAGTGTGAGAGAGAGAGAGAGAGAGTGTGTGTGTGTGCGTGTGTGTGTGTGTGTGTGTGTGTGGTGTGTGTACACACACACACTCTCTCTCTCTCTCTCTCTCTCTGTATACTTATAGGTAGAATATATATATATATATATACATATACACACACACACATATAACTCTCAAACTTTCAATCATATTAAAGTCATTAAAGTTAAAGTAACTCTTTACCTCATACTCCCTGGGAGTAAAGGATTTTGTATAGACTTGATCATTTAGTGGAAATGCCATGGAATCTATAGTTTTTCTATAATTATTACTCGCAGTAATAAAATAACAATTCCCTGATAATTATTAAACAATTTTTACCATTCAGTATGGATAATAAAATTCGCGAAAGCACAACACCATTTTATTTGAAGTGCCTTGAAGTGCCTGTTGTTGGGTAATTACACTTGCATTTAAAACTTAAGATTAAGTTAGGTTAGGCCAAAGAGAAACCTGAGAGCGGCCAACCATCCCGACTTTTTTCGTATGACGCTTGGAAGCTCCAGTACACTAGCGACACTAATATCAATTTTATAAAATGATGCGAACTACGTATCATAAAATGGGTGCACGCAGTACTACGACCGCTCACTGAGCGCTCAGTGAGCTCTTGAATCTGTTTGGTCTATATTTTTAGTTCTAACGGAATATGCCAATTAGATGCAAGAGCTCACTGAGCGCTCAATGAGCGGTCGTGCTTATGGATGCACCCATTGGCTGCGTTCAGCAGAGAAAACTAATCAGTTAGGGCTTAGGGCCACTGTCACCAAGCTCAGTTGACTTAACTGGGCCAATTAATCCATCGGAATTGACCAATCTGTCAATTCTTCAAACAAAATGACAAATGCGATTGGTCAATTCCGATGGACTAACTGGCCTAGTTAGATCAACTGAACTTGGTGACAGTGGCCCTTAATGATTCTTCAATATAATTGGTTGCTACACTTATAGCACTTCAGCTTTAGCACTGAAAATCTTGGCGATAAAATCTTATCGTCGAAAGTGGACGTCGTTCGTGTCTGTACTACATCCACAGGATAGAAGCGCGCCAACTATCTCTCCATATAAAGCTGGTTCTATATTATAACGGTTTCCACTGCCAGTGGAAAAACGCTATTAGTCGCATCGCAGTGTCGCAAGCGTTGTGGTCCAATCAGAGTCGAGTTAGATTGATGTCGATTGGACCGCAATGCTTGCGACGCTGCGTTGCGACTAATGTAGAACCAGCTTTATGAATAGCCGGCACGCTTCTATCCTATGGATAGATACAATTTTATCGACAGTGTCAGAAAAATGCCGTAGTACGTAGTTCCCGGAGCTCAAAAATGAACGTTGGTGCCGCTAGAGTATGGGGGTTAGGGTGAAATCACACGGTGCGGAAAAAGACTGCGGAATAGAGAATGCGTCATTGAAGCAACCAATCAACGCTATTCAGCGCTAATCGGAATAGCGCTGATTGGTTGCTTCAATGACGCATTCTCTATTCCGCAGTCTTTTTCCGCACCGTGTGATTTCACCCTTAGAAGCGTTACAGGAAAAAGGCTGGGATGGCCGCTCTCAGAGGTTTCTCTCTGTTATAACGTGGATTAGACAAAGACAAACAATCAAAGTTGATTATTCGTCTTTGTCTAATCCACGTAATAATACGGAAAAGAACTACAAAAACATGGACATTATTACCCTATGAGGTTTGATACACGAAAAAAGTCAAGATGTCCACTTTTTGGTTTCTCTCTGCTATTAGTGAATTCGATTGGACGCACTCAGTGCGCACTGGTGCACATTAAAGCCATCGTATATACACAAGTTATCGTAAAGATATAGTATGTTTATAAATAAACATAAAACCGGTTAAATCGTGAAATACTTATTACACTTTATTGTGCTATTAGGTAAAATATATATTTTATAATTTGAGATATTTGCATTTCACTTTTACACTTAATTTAAATCAGTGTACAACGGCTTTAATATTCAGTGCGCCCTAATGCGTCATATGTAGTTAACATTGGGCGCGTTCAAGTTGACAAAGCGGCTAACCTGCTCGCCAAGCAAATGAACATAATTGGTTGTTACTTATAGATCCAACCAATCATATTCAATCGCTCGGTAAGCACGCCTAGCCGCTTTGCCGTCTTGAACTCGCCCATTGTCTCCTTTCTCAGGTTTCTCTCTGGTATAAGTTTCTTTTCGAGAATAGAGGTCCCAGCCTTCAGGGCGGGCCGTTTTTAATGTATCGTCGGTGTCATTGCATATTATATCGATGAATAAGACATTCGAGACACTTAAAAATAATCGGCAGTTTTTATCTCATTTATTTATCCTCCTATTGCAGTATATCCTCAAAAGCTCTTTATCGTGTTTCAAGAACTAAAATATATATTACATAAATTTTACATGTTAAAATTGTTTAACAAAAGAGTATTTTTCAAACACATAGTTATATATATTAAAATTTTATTATAGGCACTTTATTTGACTGAATTAAAAAAGCTAATCTTTTCAGGATAGAATAAAATTTAAGTATATTGTATACAAAGTAGTTGCTTTCTCAAAACAACATATCATTTATTCTTACTTTATGGTTATTTCTGACATTACTGTCAAAACATTTTGTTATCACTTTCATATTATACTTATATAGAATCATTAGTTCAGAATTTAGAACAATACTAATACTTTCTCGCAATAGTACTGTTTGTAACAACATACTAATATTTCTAATAATGCACTATGAAAGATAAAGATAAAAAATAAGGATATTCTTGACATCCACGTACGGGTATTAAACATTTTGACAGTTCTGACTTTAAACACATAAATATATAAGTATGCAAGCATCTTTCAATATCATCTGTTATAGATATACGAAAATATCTCAGTCTTTTCCAAACAAATCATCGTTCCATACTATCACACTTACAATATTTATTCATATATTTTCATTTGTTCACTAGCTCACTCAATATAGTAAAACAATAACTTCATTTAAACGAATTATTAATTAACTTTTAACTTATCCATCTTACTTGTGTTTAACTTATCTAATTTGTAACTTATCTGACAAAAATAGTCATATTTACTTTCATATTTACTAGATAAATAGTCATATTTACTAGATCTCTTTAAGCATAAAGTCATAGCTCCTACAGCGTGGACATTGAGCATGATCATGTAGAAAAACAATCTGTAAAATAAGAGAAAGTTGAGGATAATAATACTAATATATGTGATAGCACATTAATAATATACTATTTAAACTTATCGATTAAATAATAACATTGTTTTTATATCTTCAACTATATATAAAGTAAGATTAAGAGACAAAAAGACGTAAAATATTGATGCAAATAAAATAACCTTAGGATGTTGAGGACAACAGTATCTTACTCTTCCTCTAGTCCAAAATCCACAACCATTGCATATAATGTGAGAATGTGGTCTATAACAAATGCATTCTGATGATGCACTTGAATTTGATATATCTTTCGCAGTAATCCTTGCGTTATTCTTTATTACGTATCCCGATTCCATGTTTATAAGTAAAACCTACAAATGTTAAAGTAAATAGAAATGCACGCACACATACATATATTACTTGTCGCATCCATTTAAAGTATCGCACATAAAACGATAGACACGTACCACAAATCTCTACAATCCCACACAAGTATAAACAGTTTACTACTCTTCTTCTTCTTCTTCTTCTCTCTGAAAATGGCGCTCGTGTGATCACGTCTACCGTCCACGCAGCTTAAACCTTCGAATGCCCTTAGATTAATAGAGACGAGAACGAAACAAACAACACCGAGTGAAGTATGCATCGAAACTCGCAACGGCTCAACCATTTTAGATCGAGACGTTATAAATTTAAAATTACGATATATCCATTCGACATTAAAAATATTAAAATAGAACGCGTTTAATCCAAAATTGAATATTAAAAATAATAGTTATTTAAAATACACTAAAAAGTTAAAAATCTAAAAAGTTAACGAAAAAACAGATCGGCAGAATGATTGAATCTATTGTTGTGGAAATGGAAAAATTGTAAAATATCCACATATAGATATGCTATATATAGGTTTAAATCTCATATACATATATCTATATATACTATATATTGTATATTGTAATTTTGTTTTGTGTACGTGCATGTGCGTGAAATAAGTACGGATATGTGTGTGTGTGTGTGTGTGTGTACAGGGTGTAACTGAAATAACGCCCACTAATCATACAGTGCTAATGAAAAACTAAGACGAAAAGTCCTCTACCATTTTGCAATTTTCGCAATATTGTTTTTAGTTAGTCTACTCAATGAGCTACTCAATTTTGTTAGGCTCTCTCTACTCAATGAGCAAAATGTCTAAAATTGACGTATTAAGACAGCTTTAAGATATCTTTAAGAGTTTTTTAAAAAAAATATTCAAAATATTCACAAAGAACACGGAAAGATATCTCAAAATTGTCTTATACATCGATTTTATCCATTTATTCGGCAATATTTAGAAATTAATATCTCGTTAACTATTGCGAAAATTGCAAAATGGTAGAGGACTTTTCGACTTAGTTTTTTATTAGGAATAGCACTGTATGATTGGTAGGCGTTATTTCAGTTACACTGTATACATAAAATATGTGATTGATAATTACAATGCTTTAAAATATCAAAACATGTCTTCGTCACACTTTCGATTCTATGTTACAATTTTTTTTTAATATACATAATTTTGCAAGAATAGCAATAAATATATATATATATATATATATATACATATATATACACAGGGTGTCCCGAATTTAAATGTTTAAACTTCGGGAGCGTGTAGAGGATCGATAAACTAAGAACAAAGTCCTTTAGAGATATGCTCGTTTTTGCTTCGTTTTGGAGAAAATCGCAAAAAGGACAAAACGTAGTTTCCATTTTTGCACTTTCTCAATACTTATTCACGTTGTATTTATTCACTCGCTTAATGTAGATATTATTCAAAATGTTGGCCTCTTGCAGCAATGCAAGATCACATACGTATTTAATGTGGATAATTCTTTTCTTAAGATGGTAAAGTTTAATTTAACTTTTTTTTTATTCAAAATACTTTTGTTTATTAAAATGAAAAAACGTGTAGCATTTATATTTGTAAATCAAGTTCGTGTAATGTAGAAAAAATAAGGATCGATACTTTTCAATTTTTTACTAATCAAAGTCGTATAGCGAGAATCTCAATAGACTTTACTTTCACGTAAGTATTTCTCTCTGGTACGTGTATATATATATATATGTGCAGGTACACTAGAGATTCCTTTCAAGGGCATGTTCGGATTCCCACCTGATGCTCCCCGGGTGTCATGTCATCCTTGTTATTTAACAAACGTTAAACAAGGATGAAATGATATCTGAGGAGCACTCTAATGAAAATCAAAACACGCCTCAACAAGCGACTTACAATCAGTACAATACAATAATCATCTCATCCTTGTTTAACATTGGCGAACAACAAGAATGTAATGATACACTGTGTCACACCGTGTCATTACACCATCTCTTGTTGGAAGGCACCCTGGAAGGACAGCAGACGACGTGCCAGCGGGAGTATCATCACTTTTAATTCGCCGCGTCAACGTTATATATAACATATATGTCATGTGGCCGATGTTTTCTCACAGTTTTGATCGCAGAAATTATTTGTAATTGTTAAAACAACGTTTGTTAAAAAACGAAAAGATAAAAATGATTGATGGGGCATTGCCTCCCCCCAAAAATTATTGGGGGGATACAAAGTCTGCCCCCCTCCCCTCCCGTAGTCGGCGCCTATGGGGACCAGCATCTATTTACAACTTGTATGATATGGAAGAGAAATCGCGTAAAATCAGTCATACATATTTGAATGCGAAAAGAAATAAATATCCAATTCTAATATTTATATAGCTTGCACTTGTGCGCACATTTGTTTACATGTATATGGATGCGTGTAAAATATTCTTTGTGTTGGCTCTTAAATTACTTCAAATGCAGAGACACTTAGGTACACACGAAGTATAGAAAACTTTCATACACTTTCCTTTTTTCTTTTTCTTTTTTAAAAAGTTTATCAGAATACAAATACATATATATATGTATATGTTAAAATGATTAAAATAATGTTCATTTACAAACGACTTTTCTCGACTGTTTCATGTATAAAAACATTGCAATATTTAATTGGCATTGTAAGAAGTGCGATTATTCTTTTCTTCTTTATTTCTTGTTCTTTAGATGATTTTGTCATTCATATTAATTAGCAAAGTAATTTTTACGGTGATGTAAATAAAATTAAAGATTTAAGAGATGGTTGCAGGATAATGCAAATATGGTAGCATAACTATGCACGTAACCAAATATAAGGAAAATAACGTGATAGTTTCAATTTTCGTAGAGTGAATTAACTCTATTGGTTATCTTTTGAAAGGACCTCGCACTAATCATATGGAAAATTGGGTCCCAATAAAATTAGTTAGTTTTCATATATTAATATAGCCTATAATGTTATACCAAAAAAATCATAAAAATGAAAAGTCAGGCCATGTTCAAAAAAAGATCCTCAAAAATTTAAACCTTTAAAAATTCAAATGATTATCTAAAATAATATATTACCATGAAAAGTAACTGATATATTATTAATAAACGTGCCAGTTCAAAGTGAACATACATAAAGTGTATATTATCTAAATTTAATAATATATTACCATGAAAAGTAACTTGTATGTTATTCAAGGTGCAAATTCAAAACAAACATACATATATAGTAAGTAAAATAGATTACAATTTGATTCTAGAAAATAAGTCGATATGTATGTTATTATTCTTAGTGAACAAAAAATAAAAGTCGTTTATTGAGATTTGATTTGAAATTTATACTAGCCCGTACGATGAAAAATAATTGCTTGTAATTCCAGAGTATCAATTTGTTAATGACTCGGAAAAAGAACATGGCGGCCTGCTTTCGAGGGATGAAAATAAATAATTGAAATAAAAGAATTATGAAAATTGTTTAGATTAAAAGCCTCCCATCTTCCTTTAGTAAAACTTCGAATTTTTGTATCAACTTCGGATTTTGAGTTTGTTATGCCGTATTTTCAGTGAGTAATTTATTGATAAAAAAAACGTTGCCTTATTACCTGAAACGAGTAAATACTAATTAAACCCAAAATTCATAAATAAGAAGTTCTCAGGTCAAGTACAAAGAAGCTGTACATTTAAAAAGTTATTGATTATTTAACGTAATATATATTCATTTCGTTATAGAGCTTTTGAAAATACGATTCTAATGTAATACTTTTCGTACTTCAAGTGTTGTAATAATTACTCTGTAAAAGCTTCGACATTATTTCTAAGTGGACACCGAGAAACTCATCAAAGTTTTTTGAGAGCAGGCCGCCATGTTCTTTTTCCGAGTCATTAACAAATTGATACTCTGGAATTACAAGCAATTATTTTTCATCGTACGGGCTAGTATAAATTTCAAATCAAATCTCAATAAACGACTTTTATTTTTTGTTCACTAAGAATAATAACATACATATCGACTTATTTTCTAGAATCAAATTGTAATCTATTTTACTTACTATATATGTATGTTTGTTTTGAATTTGCACCTTGAATAACATACAAGTTACTTTTCATGGTAATATATTATTAAATTTAGATAATATACACTTTATGTATGTTCACTTTGAACTGGCACGTTTATTAATAATATATCAGTTACTTTTCATGGTAATATATTATTTTAGATAATCATTTGAATTTTTAAAGGTTTAAATTTTTGAGGATCTTTTTTTGAACATGGCCTGACTTTTCATTTTTATGATTTTTTTGGGATATCACCTACTTTTCAGAGTACAGATATACGGAGTAGCTTTCTAGTAATGCAAGTATCACAAATGTATATATATATATATGCATTATATATATTTTCGATTTTTATCACGTAACTTTCTATAAGCTACAATTTATGCAATACAGTTAGAAAAAATTGAAATATATGGTATACACATATATAAATATACAATAAATATATGTATATAAATATATATTCTGTACATATACATTTTATTTAATAGTATATATGTAACTGTTTATATAATTATAATAAATATTTATACCATACGTTACATATTTATTTCAATTGCAACAGAATGAATTTATAATATTCTATGAATATATACATATATATATACTGAAAATAAAGAATGGGCCCCTACATCGCCCATTCTCGTGAGAACATAATCATATTTTCTTCGTCTCTCCGATTTTAACACGATCTTTGACATAGAGATTTTTTTCTTGATGATACTCTTTGAAATATCATAAAGTTATTCGATAATAAATTTTTATTATTCATAGCAATATATCGAAAGAATTACCTCTCAAATTGACTTTTCCAAGCTTAGCACAAAATTAGTATAGTCAGTTATCGTTGCTATAAAGTCATTAGCAAGTTGTTTTTATAAATGATAAAATTTACGGCGTTAGTTTACCTCCCATCCCTGCATTTTTTATACAAATATATTTGGATAAAACGCTGCCCATTAAGAAGATATTAAAATAAAAATGAACAGTTCACCTCC